TTGACAATCTAAAGGGAGAGGTTAGTGCTCCTAACTAAATAGGTATTGCATGTTTTAGAAATTTTTGTGGCAAACCAGTTGAAAGTCACTGCATTAGATAGCAAAACCCAGTTTCTCCCAGATACTTAAAAGTTACCAGAAGTCATAAATATGTATCAGATGGTTTATTCACAAGTTTTATTTCCTCACAGAGCATTTTTGTTAAATAAAATATTAGTGGCAAATGTTTAAAAATCAGTATCTTTCACATTAAAATCCGGACTTCTGGCATCTCTTTAAAAAAATTTAATGATTTGGCAACCATAAGCCAATATTCCCACAAAACAACAGTCTCCCTTCCATATTCCCACATCATACATGTGGCTTACATCCTCATTAATATTACCAGTTAGACCCAGCTATGATAACCAACTCACTCTGTCTACTCTGTGGAGGTTGAGAACTCCTAGCTTCATCTAACCCAATAAAAAGTAAACATGACACAAAAAATCAAGATGAAAAAGGGCAGATGCCACTTGATTTGTTGTTTCTTACACTTTAGGACAAAAACAGGAAAGGTGCCAACCATGAGGTTTACTCAGAGGAGATGGCTTTACTGAGAGTAGCTAAGACTGCCATCAACCCCAGATAGCAACTCCAGATAGCCCTTCTCTTCAGCTGAAGACATGGCTGAAATGATCTGTTCTTTAAAGAGCATCAGGTTCTGACCCTTAAGCAGACCTATGGCTGTCTTGGCCTTCTAGAAGACAATCAATGAGGAGTCTCACAGGACATGACCGCTCCCTCAGCAAAGCTTCTGCAATATACTTGTCATACCTCTGCTTCTACAGGGTCATCTGAGTTCTCCTCTTCTGTGTCCAAAAGCTCAATAGTCAGCTGAACCTGGCCTTGGCTCTGAATGAACATAAGCTGCAAATAAGAAACCTGAGTGTAAACAAAAGACCATCTCCAAAGCTATAACCCAGCTTCTTAAAGGTTGAGAGGCAATAAAGTCATACAACTCTGTTCCAATGGAAGAAATGAGGAAGACAAAAACTTAGGAGGCAGGTGATTAAAAAGGCAAAAGTTTAATCTCGCTACCAGGAAAATTAAATGTTAGTGCAAAAAGCACCATTTTATATTTCATACTTCTTAAATTATCTAGAATAATCAATGTCAATAAGAGTGCTTTAAAGCCAGAACTAAACAATGCCAAAGCCATTTCACTTGATAATCCCATTTCTAGGACTTAACACAAAGATGTAAACAAGTCTATAGTATCCTATATAATAAAAGCCTAATATGCTAAGTGTCTGGTTGACTGGTTGGCCGTTCAACCAATCGAAGCGTAATATGCTAATGATATGTTGAGGCCATTCAACCGCTTGCTATGATGTGCACTGACCACCAGGGGACAGACGCTCCAACCGGTAAGTTAGCTTGCTGCTGGGGTCTGGCTGATCGGGACTGGGCAAGAGGGGCCGGACACGCCCTGGAGCCCTCCCTCAGTCTCTCCCTGGCTGGCCAACCTCCCACATTTCTCCCTGGCCCTGATTGTGCACAAGTAGGGTGCCTTGGCCTGGCCTGTGCCCTCTCGCAATCCAGGACCCTTCAGGGAAGGAGAGCTGGTTTCAGCCCCATCCTGCAGGCCAGGCTAAGGGACCCCACTGGTGCATGAATTCGTACACTGGGCCTCTAGTTTTAAAAAAGAAGGAACCTTCTCAAACAAAGTGAAGATGAAAACATGAACACAACCAAGAGGAGCAACTGCATTTCCACTGCAATAAAGATTACCTGAGGAGCCGAAACCGGTTTGGCTCAGTGGATAGAGCGTCGGCCTGCGGACTGAAGGGTCCCAGGTTCGATTCCGGTCAAGGGCATGTACCTGGGTTGTGGGCACATCCCCAGTAGGAGATGTGCAAGAGGCAGCTGATGGATGTTTCTCTCTCATCTATGTTTCTAACTCTCTATCTCTCTCCCTTCCTCTCTGTAAAAAATCAATAAAATATATTAAAAAAAAAAAGATTACCTGAGGTATCACACACACCATGGGGGTAAGGAACACAAAACACTGAAGTATTTAGAAGTGATCTGCTATAATAATATCAGTCATATTGGAAGTTCTTCAAAAGCAAGTCATGTGCTGCACAAAAGAACTATCAAATGATGATGGCACATGGATCTCCCCTTTCAAAAACCCTAGGACTCTCACTGTCCTTACCCTAAGGGATTGCTGCAGACAAGGTCATGATTCAAATCACATGGAAGATGAGCACTTAAAAGGAAACTTGAGAATAATTTATTTCAACCTCCTTGGTTTACACAGAAAAAACCCCTAAAATTCAGAGAGTAAATAAGCAGGACTAGAAGCCAGCTATGATTCCTGATTTGTTCTGGAGAAGCTTTAGAAATTCTTATCTGCTAGTCAAATTTAAAACATGACAAGAACATAACATATACACAAACACAAACGAAGTTACTTCTAAAATAGATGTGAAGAAACACTGCCTCCAGGACTATGCTAAACCCATGTCACTAGGATGATCTTAGAGTGTCTAGATTAGTCCAATTACTCTAAAGAAATCACCCTTCAAAGTGATATTGAGTAGGCAGTCTATTCTCTACATCCGTGGTTCTCAACCTTGGCTGCACATTAGAATCACCTGGGAATCTTTTTAAAATCCTGATTTCTGGGGCTCATACTCCGGAAATTCTGTTTCTTTGTTATGGGGTGGGGCCACAACATTAGTAACAAAGAAACAGAATTTCTGGAGGATGAGACCCAGGTGATTCTAATGTGCAGCCAAGGTTGAGAACCACTGCTTTACATGCTTAAAATTGAACTCAATTTCATCCCAACAGGCTCCTCCACCTGTATCCTCTCTTGCTAGGCCCTTCCCCATGTGTTTACCCACCTCCCTCACCTCTGTAACCACTCTCCAAGCCTTAACTAGCTTCATTATTAGACTGCTCACACCTATCACCCAAATTGGGTTAACTGCCTCCAGGAGTAAACTCGCCTCTGATTAGTCCACATCTTCTTAATCAGTGCTACCAAACTGTCTTCCTGAAAATTCAAATCCAGTGGGATATTTAGTCTTTAATAATGCCTCACTGGTCATCAACCACAAGAAAATCCAAACCATTTACTTACTAAAGATCCTCTACCACTTGGACCCCACCCCACTCGTCTACATGCCTCTTCCACCAATATCCTCCTTATGCTTCATTTACTCAACACACAGTTACTGAATGTTACTACTTAACAGACAGGATATATGGTAAACGGGAACATGGTTCCATGCTCCAACTCCCCCTCCCACCCTGTGGGAATAATAGTGAAGGCCATCTGTAAGCAGACTGTGCGACCTTGGGAACCTGGCTAGCAACTCAGTTTAAGAAAGGTTAAAGAGAAACAGCTTCTAGATGTCAGCCTGGATTATAAACAGCTAGTGTTTCAATTTCACAAATCTTGTGCATATGTTCCTCCCCCTTGCATGCCCTGTTTCTCTGTTTTCTGTACTCTATAAAAGTCTGGGTGGTGGCAAAAACAACAGCACCGACCAGCTACCCCCGTCGGGACTTCATGGGACAGCTTCTTTGGCAGTAGCCGGTGCAGCAGTAAACTTCATTGGTCAGCACGTAAGTCCTAATAAACCCATGTCTTTCACAGCTAACCATTTCTTTGGAATCCACAAACAATACCTGAGATTTTCTCGGACCTCAGCACTTTGCATAACACAGGGGCACGCTCAAAAGAGAACATAATTTCTTCTTTGGAGAAGATTAATTTAGTAAAGTAAATAGGAATATAAGCAGCTATATTTAAATTACAACTAAGTAACCACAAAGGTACTATTTTAGAGACATGAGCAATATGCTGTGGAAATAAATAATTCCCTCTTCAGTGAGCTGAGAAAGATTTCACACTTCACTGAAGTGACCCTCAGCTGGGCACTGAAGGATAAAGAAGATCAATCCAATTTCAGAGAAATTATGACAGAGACAACTGTATTTTAATAAGTACATAAAAGAACTACAACCCCCCCCCCCCAAAAAAAGGTGAAATGTATGAATAAGGAATACATAGTAAGGCAACAGTAGGAAACAGGGAAATATGAATTTAAGTAATTTTCTAACCATCTTCAGTGGTTCTCAACCTTCCTAATGCCATGACCCTTTAATACAGTTCGGCATGTTATGGTGACCCCCAACCATAAAATTATTTTCGTTGCTACTTCATAACTGTAATTTTGCTACTGTTATGAATCGTAATGTAAATATCTGATATACTGTATGTGTTTTCTGATGGTAGCGACCCACAGGTTGAGAACCGCTGATTCTAACTGGAAAAAAATAAAAGAAGTTTGATAAACCAATTGACCAAGGAAATCAATGCTCTTATGCAAGTGTACACTGGTACAGCCTAACATTTTGGAGAAATGACAATATCCATTAAAATAAAAAATCTAAAATATGTATCCCTTTGACCAAATAATTTCACTTTTGAATTACTCTACCCTAGGTAAATACTAACACATGCACACAAAGATACAAATACAAGAAAATGCTGTTCAATGTAGCCCTATTTGAGATAGTTAAAACAAAACAAAACAAAACAAAAAAACAGTTTAAATGCTCACCCATAAAAGAATGATTTTTCAAAAAAATACGGTACATTTATATTATTAAGTATGATACAGCAGGTGAAAAAAACTGAGCTGGATCTACATAAACCAAAATAAGCAATTCTAAGACATACTAAGTGGAAAAAAAGCAGGATGCAGAATATGCACAATCTAATATTTGTTTTTACATATACATACACATGTATGTAAATGCACAGAAAAGGGTCTGAAGGAACATAGATAGTTAAAAGGCCTGAATGTAGAATGTACATAGGAAAAATAAAGGGAGAGGAGGCTGAAGGTGGGTGGGGAGTGGCAGCAGAGGGTTTAAAGGGCTGCTTATGTTTAGCTTACTGATAGCATTAAATTTTATTCTCTATGTACTAGTAAACATTTTTTTTTTTCCAGAGAATTCCTTTATTGAAACTAAGTTTTACCATGAAATTTCACATACATGACGGAAAATACATACCAATTACATGTCAGGAAAAAATACTTTAATGGTATTATTGTATAGCTCATTGGCTAATTCCAGTGGATCCTCATCTCTTACTGCTGCCATTATCTCCAGTATTTGAATTATATGGCAAGGTTCATTTCTGTCTTTCAAACAGTGCCCATTTTCCCATTTCTTTTTGGTAGGAAATGACGTTTTTACATATTTTGAACCAGCATGTGTACTTTTGACTCCACACCAAGGTGCATCAGTCTCAATCATTAATTTTTCACTAGGTATTGACTTCAAAACTTCCAAATTAGCCTCAGTTTTCAGTGAGCAACCATTAAATCCTATATAGAGATCCAAGTCAACCAAAGCAGCTGCTGTTTCCTTGGTACCATCAAATGAATGCACTACTCCCCCTACACACCGATCTCTATTTCTTTTCATTATGTCCAAAAATTCAGCATGAGAGTTTCGGCAGTGAAGAAACATGGGTAATTTTGTCTGATCTGACAGTTCAAACTGTTTTTCAAAATATTTGAGCTGAGTATCTTTGGGACAAAACTGTAGTCGGTCAAAATCGAGTCCACATTCCCCTATTGCTACAACTTTCCCCTTGTTGTTTTCAGCAAGATTTAGCAACTCCATTAAGGAAATATCAGGATTATTCTTTTCAAATTCATCACATCTTGTAGGATGACATCCAACTGTACTGAAAAACATATCTGAAGCAGTTCTCAGAAAGATTTCTTCAAAATACAGCTGCCCACCAATAGACCCCACATCATTTCTGCTGGGCTCCAGCCTCTCCTCAGTATATTCTCTCTGCTCTGCCAGGCTGACTGAGCTCAGTGTGCTCTGCTGCTCAACATTCAGACAGACCCACGAACTTGTAGCGACTCATGACCGCGGCGCCGGGATCTCCTTGGCGGAAGCTACTAGTAAACATTTTAAAGAAGAGGATCACTGTAGTGACACCATTTTCCTGGCTACAAAGCCTTTCTTCCTGCTATTCCTCCTGATAATTATTCTTATCTACAGGGCGAATCTGTCCATTCCTTCATAAGGCCCTGGCCACAATTTAATACCCTGTTTAAACTCTTAATGGGTGGGGAGGCTAATTCTGTTTCACCATCAAAACTAACACACAGCAAGCTCATAACAAACATTTATAGATTTAAACCCTGAAAAGCTTAGGGAATCTCTTCTGTAGTGGGAAGGTCCTCAGGTATTAGAACATCAGATCTGAGGACTGAACTGAAAAACTTGCTTCCCGTTCTTTGATTCTAAATTAAGCAAACATTACTGGTACTGAATTAGAAACGAAAACAACTGAAAGTAGAAGTAGGCAAAAAAGTAAAACATTTGGAGTCGGATCATTAAACTATATGGAACATACCCAAATAGAGCAAACTGTTACTTAGCTTTCTTCCCTGTTCAGCCAATCACAAACCTTAATCTGCATCACCTGACCCTGCCCTTCTTGTGTGTAAATACATACAGGCTTTGCTCAACTATACACATTTATTACATAGCTGCAATCATAATACACATACTTTTGTATCCTTTTATTTGCTTCAATATTTTTATAATTTATAATTAATTTAAAGGGCTGCAAAATATGCCATCCAAGTATTTATACAATAGAGTACCATTAACCACTCCCATAGTGGGTTGGAAATTTAGGCTGTTTTCAGTGATATACTTTTCAAATCAGCTATTACAATGATGGAAAACTGGAAACAACTCAGGTTGTCAAATAAGGCAGGCATGAAATATCAAATAGTCACAAAAAGATGCTGAAGACTCACAGGTATTGCTAATTGCGCAAAAACAACTTACAGATATATATATTCTAGAAATGTAATCAATGATTATTTCTGGGAAGAATTGTAGCCAATTTTTCTTTTCTCTGCATTTCTTATCTTTTCTACAACAATCAAGGATTACATTTTTAAACATTTTAAAACAATATACTTACAAAACACTATCATATGAAAAAACATTCAAAGAAAAGCAGAAGACAAAATTATAAAAATCATATAAAACAAGCAACTTTTTATTAAGGCAAGAAAGTCTATAGGAGACTTTACTTCTATTTCCCCATGTTTTTTGTATATTCTCCAGTGAGCTCACAGGAACTCTAAGGAAGTTCCAGCAGTGGAATCACAGAGTCAAAACACTCTGCTCTTTGATTTCTGGTAGAGATGATCCCAACAACTTCCCCTGTTACCAGCACAATTATTGACTACATGAGTAACTCTCACCTTAAAGCAGTTCTCCTCTGACATGAGCTGTTCGGCTTTCCGCTGATATGCTGATTCCAAGAGACTCCTCGAAGTCTGTGTGTTCAGCTGGCCTCCAGTAGCCCCATTATTGTTTTCTGCCAGGTAAAGGTCAGTCACTTGTACACAGATCTCATCACTCACAATGTGCTGCAGCTGGAATCAAGCAAAGGCAACTAGACAATGAATCAAGAAAATACTTCTCCTTGTCATACACTCAACCTTCCTTTGATAGTTCTAGTCACTCAGCTCAAAAAGAGGTTTTGGGAATTGGTAATTTTTAAAAATCAGTCACACAAAACCATTATTATTTTTTTTCTTGGAGAATAACTAAGCCAAAATCTTCAGCCATATCACCGGTCCATGAGTAAAATATTCATATATATTTAAAAGCAAAACTACAGCCCTAGCCAGTGGCTCAGTGGACAGAGCGTCGGCCTGTGGACTCAAGGGTCCCAGGTTCGATTCCGGTCAAGGGCATGTACCTTGGTTGCGGGCACATCCCCAGTATGGGGTGTGCAGGAGGCAGTTGATTGATGTTTCTCTCTCATCAATGTTTCTAACTACCCCTCTCCTTTCCTCTCTGTAAAAAATCAATAAAATATATTTTTAAAAATAAATAAATAAAAGCAAAACTACAGACAATGGTTATTAATGTGCTACCTATTTAATAAAGTTCTAAGGAACTTGAAAAAATTTTTTTACATGAAAGAAAATTCCCATGGACGCCTATTTTTAGGGCACTTCTCTACCATTTATAACTTGCTTTCTTACATATTCTCACTTGATCCACAACTACCTTCGGAAGAGTCTGGAGAGGGGTGTTCTGATACATGAGACAAATTTACATGTTTGATAATAAAACTCACTGTGTACCCAAGGTGAGGAGAAGGGCCTTCGAGAACCATGAAAGCAAGATCCATGTCTATATCCCCAGCCCTAATACAAAGTCTGAAACTCATTACGTATTTAAGAAACTGTTGCTGAATTAACTGCCAAGGGCCTCAGCTGAAGGAGCAGAGTCAGGACTAACATTCAAGCTTTCTGACTCCTAGGGCCAATATTCTTTCTAATCACCTATTTTTCTACATCTGATAAAGTATAGTACTTAAATTATATATAATGTTAATTAACTCATTTCAAAACAGGTCAATCATGATGGACTACTGCTAACTTTTGTGACTATCTTATTAAATTATCTGATGACTAGAAAGTAGAATCTTTCATCTTACATTTCCATGAATCATGGCAATACTTCTACTGTGAAATAAAAATTTCCTCAAATAAAACTACCCATTACAATGCCAGAGAATGTTAAAAACAAAAGAAACAGATAAAGCAGAAAGCAAAAAGTTAACTGCAATATCAGCTTGTCTATTTTATTTTAAAATTCTCATAACTACTAAGCCATTCTATTTTTAGGAAGGTGTGTTCCTTTTGAAGTGCTAGCAACTATAACAACTACTTATTTTTAAAAGTCTTAAATAACAAGTATGCGTATTTGTACATAAATAAACACAGTGCAAGGTCAGAGGGTGAATGATTTGAGGGCAGTCTAAAAAGCCACAATTGGAGATGATTAAATAAATAACAATTAGTACAGACAATTGATTCTAATGGAGAATTAAAATAATGCTTATGACAACTTGATAACATAGAGAAAAGCTTAAGATAGTGTTTTAGAGAGAAAAAAAAGCAGCTTAAAGAAAATATATTCAAAGCATGGTCTCTACCATGTTGACACTTACACTTTACTAGAGGACCCATGCACGGATTCATGAACTGGTGGGGTCCCTAGACCTGGCATGCGCCCTCTCGCAATCTGGAACTCCTTGGAGGATGTCGGAGGCCCGGTGCATGGATTTGGCCAATCCCTGCAGGCCAGGTCGAGGGACCCCACTGGTGCACTGGGGCTCTAGTATGCATATAAGATCTTTGGTTAATCTCTTCCTGCACTTTCCCCTCCCTCTCCCCTCTGAGATTCATCAGTCTGTTCCATGTTTCCATGCCTGTGCACTGAGCGTCTGCCCCCTGATGGTCAATGCACGACATAGCTACCGGTCGAACAGTCGGACACTTAGCATATTAACCTTTTGTTATATAGGATACCTTCTTGTTAAAGTAGACCAGGTCACTAACTCCCCATTCCTACTCTGTTCTTGGATATTTGGCCCCTTCTAGAGTCTTTGGGAAGGGCATCACTATAATTCAGGGACAACTAGATAACTCCACACCCATCTAGGCTGGTCAGATTCTCACTCCTGCTAATCTGAAATGGCACAGTAAGTGTGCACGATAGACAGAAGAGCATCTGGATGGAAATATCAGGTAATGTTTGGGTCAGAGGCACTGCCATGGAAAGCCAAGGCTGGTGGTAGGTGGAATGGGGGCTGAGGATCCAATGTTCATTTGCAGAGAAAAGCATTAGAATGAAACAGATGTCTAGAAAAAAAGCATTCAGGCAAGAGGGGAAAATGTCCCAATCCAATTCCTATGTGATCTGGGCATCTACTGAGTTCTGTACTAGCTACCTATTTTATTCCTAAAACAAATCCCTCTTAAACTAGCCTGGAAATCATAAGATAAATGTATGGATTGACCCTGAAATATATGTTCTACCTCCAGTCAGGAATGAACTTAGGGAGAATACCAAGTGAGATGAGGTGAATGAGAGAAGATATGCCTTCAATTGAGGGGTTAAGATGAAAACCATCAACATAGATTTTCAACATATTGAATTAGGGTTTCTGGATGAAACCTGTTTCCATATAAAAGGACTAAATGTTATTACTGACTCAAAATCATAAGCTGGTGCTTCTAGTAAATGAACTAATTATATTTATTGTTTCAAAAAAAACCAATCTTGGCTTATAAAAAGTTAGTTTTAATGACGTTACTCCTAGCTGTAGCAGCAGCAAACTAACTTGTAAGCAGAAAAATAAGCATATGACAACTTTTAGTGGATGTTAACAGGGTTAGTCTCTCAAAAATTATGACCATAGCTAATTATATCTATAGAATGATTTCTGCCAGTCATGATATAGACCTCTTAAGGAAAACCTAATAACTTCTTCAACTTCCAGGAAAAAACTGTCTGCTTGATAACTTTCGTGAAGATGCCAAAATTGAGAAGCGTTTTCCCTGACTCTGAGAAGCTGCTATGGGAGGGATGCAGAGTCATGGGTACTCTACAAAGGATTTCATACTTTACCCCAAGGAAACAGTGGAGCAACAAACTTTTCTTTCCATAGTGGCAGTGTAGACTTTAGAATTATCTTTTTGCTTTTTTAAGTTTTCACTTTATTTTTTGTTAATCTCACCCAAGGATATTTTTCTATTCATTTTGAGAGAGTGGAAGGGAGGGAGAAAGACACAGAAACATCGATGTGAGAGAGACACATCAATTGGTTGTCTCCTGTACACACCCCAACCACAGCTGGGGATTGAGCAACTGAGGTACGTGCCCTTGACTGGAATCAAACCTGGGACCATTCAGGAGGGGATGGGCATGGGGGTGTGCCACTCTATACACTGAGCCAAACCGACTAGGGCAAGTTTTCACTTTAAAGATAGTAGTGCACCAACTACACACTCCCTTTGGAAGTTGAGAACTCAAGGCATAATGTATACTATTTGCTATAAAATTATCATTGCAATAGAGAACATCAAACATATTTACAAACACCCAGGGTGCCACAGCAACAAGCCACAAACCTAACTCAGAGAGATGATCAATGAAACCCTTTCTGTAAAAAGAACTTCAAATATTAAATGAAGAAAGTATATAGAATTACCAACACCTATAGAAGAGAAAAGGCTACCAGCAGAGAGCTCACCCCTGGTAGACGAGAACAGAGCTGGGCCTCCTGGGCAGAGATCAGGGTCGGGAACAATGCTGGCTCAACAGCCAGCCAGCAAGAAAGAGCCAAACATCAGGTGTGAGGCAGGCTCATCCGACTATGAGGGCACACTGAGCAAAGCAGAGGAGTCAATTATGTGGCTGAAGTGCTGCCACTTTGTTAACGGGAGATATCCCCACAGCACATTCACTTCCTCTCCCCTCTATAGAAGCATTCGTACATAAGCATCATTATAAACCCTTTCTTTGTGCCTGGTCCATCTTTAGGCAAGGCTATCTTCCTGTACTCACCCTCGCCCTCACCTGTCTGACGATGCTCTGGATGAGCTTGTCCATGGTGAAGGCAATGTAGGCATGAATGGTGAACATCTCTCGCAGTGAATCCTCATATTGTGATGAGTCAATGTTGCCATCCAGCAGGCTCCGCACCATATCCAGGAAAGCTGGGTAATAATCTTCTACATCAACATCCACTGTGGGAGAGATGGGACAGATGAGGCTTTACCCTGCTAGGAAAAGATCAGGAGAGCAGGCAGGGCAGGTCCCAGAGATGGCCTAAGGAGCATTGAATAAACCAACCCTACATACTCAAAGCATGCCTCCTCAATCCGCAGAAACACAATCTCACAGGCAGCTACAATCAGCAGCTCTATCAGAGGACAGTGATTCTGCAACTTCACCAGCAGCTTCCAGAACTCTGACCATGCCAGAAAGACACTTAGTGACAGGCTGGGCTCTGCATAAGAGAGCAAAATATCCCAGGGAAGAAGTTTCTTCAAAAAGTTGTTGGCTCCCCTGCTGAGAGAAAACTATCACCACCCTCCCACCCCCCCAACCCCCGCCTGTGAAGAGCATTCCTCACATGAGTCACTTGCTCACCAAGCTATTTCCATGAAACATAGAGGGACAGATGAGAAAAGCAGATAGAGTCACACTCTAGCATTGGGAAACCCTCAGGAACAGAATAAAGGGTGAGCAAATTAAATCCTCTATGAATAATAAAGTCATCTGCATCTGTCAAAGTCCTTTTGTTTCAAAATGGATTCCCAATGTTGTACTTCACAAATTGCACAGTGATTTGTGCTGCACATGAACCACTTCTGCCACCAGCTGGAATTTTATCAGTTGTGACAGAGACGTTGGAAACTACCAGAGTGCACAGGAATGGTGAAAGGACTCTTGACTGCAGCTTACTAAAATAAGACCCATTTATTTACACAAGGCTCAAAAACAAGCAGATTTGAAAGAGGCATGAGGAGGCTACTGGTATATTGGTTGTGTGTTGTTTCTTGATCTAGGTACTGGTTACACAGGTGTGTTCACTTTGTAAAAGTTCACTGAGCTATACAATTTGGATTTGTATGCTTTTCAGTATGTGTTACACTTCAATAAAAAGCTTTCACTTGCCCTGACAGGTTTGGCTCAGTGGATAGTGTCGGCCTGCGGACTGAAGGGTCCCAGGTTCGATTCCAGTCAAGGGCATGTACCTTGGTTGCGGGCACATCCCCAGGAGTGGGTGTGCAGGAGGTGGCTGATTGATGTTTCTCTCTCACCGATGTTTCTAACTCTCTATCCCTCTCCCTTCCTCTCTGTAAAAAATCAATAAAATATATATTTTTAAAAAAAGCTTTCACTAAAATGATATTTGATCACCAGTTTATAAAGTATATACAGGGGCAAAAAGGCTAAGAGCAAAAGCTGAGTCCATTTATCTGCAGTGTGATGGACTCATTCAAGACAAGCAAAACAGGACAATTACTGTTTAAGAGCAGCAACAGGCTTGAGTTTCATTAGAATATCACCTTGTTCAGAGCGACAGCATAGGCATGAGCCATGCTAGTGCCATGAAAAAATGCTGTTCTGCCAGAATAAAACAATGTGCAAATGCTCATGAGCTATGATCAGTGAAGCTGGCATTGTCACTCAAGACCAAACTATGTAAGCCTCAAACCAAGATAAGTCAGTGGTCAAGCCAGGATTAGGCCATTTTCTCTTATTTCTACCCAAGCAGGTGGAATCACCACACTGAGGTCCAAAACTTGTCTGTCAAGCTAGGATTAATCCAGATAAAGGTTTTTAGAATTCCCAGGGTCATTAGCTCTTCAACAGATTGAAGGCGAGAACCACACATGGGCTTCTTACATTAGCAACAGTTAGAAAAAAGAAAAGCTAATTTGCTCCACAGATTGGCTATTTCCTCAAGGGCACTGAAGAAAGGCTTCACGAAAAAGATTTTGGCTCACACCTCAAGTATTTAATTTATGAACTGAACAGTTATCTACACATAGGTAGCACAGAATTACTTAAAGCACATGAGGGATGGCTTCCTTAACCCCTATTTATTTTCCTTTTCTTGGTTCTCGATCTTCATTTCTGTTTTGCCTATTCTCCTGGCTCACACCATCTCTTGAGTTCCAGTCTCCTTTCCATACCCCCTTCTCCTTTTATTAGGAATGAGCCATGAACCCCTCTGGTTAAAGAGAAGTACTGCCCAAACACATCAGAAAATTCCCAACTGTCTTAGGCATGAACCACTAGGAATTTATGTTCTGTCATGCAGTGGAGCCAACTGAGTTTTTGTCTCTCTCTGTCCTTTGAAATTCTTTGTAATAACCCAGAGATCTGCCATTTGGGAAACTGATGGCAACTGTCATCCCCTCCGGGTGTCAAGTGTCCACAATCCAAGCATTGTAAAGGGTGGTTTGCATATTTTCTTCACTTATCCCAACAACCTCATAAAGTAACAAGTAGCACAGGTTCAGAGTGCTAAGTAAGGTCACACAACCAGTAAGTTGCAGAACTAGGATTTGAACTCCTCTGAAGCCTGCCTGTGCCCCATGTATAAAAGGAAAGTCCTGAGTCTAACTAGGCCCCAAGGTCACCAACCCCTCACATCTTCTGTAAACCAGCAGTCTAGGCACTCACTAGGTTCTTTAAGACGGAGCTGAATGGCAGGACTGTCACTCTTGTCTCGCTTTATGCCCAGCACTTCCCGCTCCCACTCCCTCTCTCGGTTTTCTTCTTCGATCTGCCGTTCTGCTTGGGAACAAATCCGCAGAAGTCTCAAGCAAAGAATCTGGTGCAGTCGCATAAAGATGTACCAGTTGTTGTTAACATAGAAGAGGTTGTACACTTCATCCATCCCTCTTAGCTTCTGTGCTGTTGTGTTACTAAACAGTAGCTTGGACTTAGGGGAGCTGCCCCCAACCCCATTGTGCTTCTTAGCCACTCCTGTGGCCTCATCTACATCCATCTCTTCTTCTTCCTCTTCTTCTACATCCGATAGATCACCCCTCTGAGCAAAGAGCAGATCTGGAATGAAGTGATGCATGATCTGCTTGATTTTGTACTTGTCCTCCTTCTGAATGCCTGCCTGTCTCTTCACATGGTGGATAATCAGGGCAGCGGCGTCCTCCAGGATCTGCTTGTCTTCATAGGCCAGAGAGAGGTGTGGGCCAGCAGGTACGCCAGCATTTTCTTCAGTAGCCTGCTCTTGCCGCTACCAGGAGAGAGAGAGATACAAAGTAGTAAGTGCCATATCCATAGCAACAACCAACAGACCTATGAGACAACACATCAGTACATCCAATTATTAACCATAGTGACTATTATTTTCCAATCCAAAACGTCTAGAAACAATAAGGTAATGTGGAAGATGTGGTTTGAGAACAAAATATTGGTTACCTTCTAGACTTTGAAGACTGATAGGGGACATTGGGACAATCTAAAATTCTGAATTAACATTTATGGAGGAAGTAGTCAGTATGAGATCTAGGATTCACTTTAAAATACTTCTGCGGTGGAAGTGCAGAAAGTGTTAGATGTAAAAACAATGACAAAATAGAAATAATTATTCAAATTTATGTAAGAGCTCACTTTATTATTTTCTCCCCTTTCATGTACATTTGACATTTTCACACTAAAAAGCTTTTTAAAATTCAAGATCATATCACTTTGAGGAATTTTCAACCACACTACATTTATGTCTCTATCCATCCCCTAAGACTGTGAGCTCAAAGAAAATAGGATTATTTTCTTATTCATCACAGTATCCTAGCTCCTGAACTACATATAATCTTTATAAGTATGCTGAATAAACGAGGATTAGAAAGAATTTGGTATCAGTGAGAAGAGTTTAAGTAGTGGGAAGCTGAGGCAAGCCAATCAAATACAAGGTACTCAAGCAGTGAATGGGGAGAAGTGGGGTTGTCAACTGAAACCAGGAGGGTAAACTAGGAAACCAGTAAGATAGCTTAAGTAGAAAGGTAAGGTTAAGAGTTAAAATGGTAGAATCAGGAATAGAAGCCTATGACAGTTATGAAGCAAGAATCAACAACAAGTCTTAGAGCAGTGGTTCTCAACCTTGGCTTCACATTAGAATCACCTGGGAATCTCTTTAAAATCTTGATTTCTGGGCCTCACCCTCCGGAAATTGTTTCTTTGTTACTAATGTTGTGGCCCCACCCCATAACAAAGAAACAGAATTTCCGGAGGGTGAGGCCCAGAAATCAGGATTTTAAAGACTCCCAGGTGATTCTAATGTGCAGCCAAGGTTGAGAACCACTGTCTTAGAGGGTCTCGATTTCATATAACAAAGGTAATTTCTAGGAATCAAAGCTATACAGAGATTGGAGCCCCCTTACAGGTGTAGAAACTTCCAGCTCACCTCATCATAGATACTCTCAATCTCGTTGAGTAAGCTCTTAGACCTCAGGACCTTGGTGTCATTCTGTTTAAAGTTGATACCCTGATGGTCCAGAGACTTCAAGTAGTATTTCTCATTTTGCTCTCGCCACACCTTGTTAAAGCCCCTCTGGGCTTCTCGCCATTCTTCCTCTTTCATCTTCAACCTAGTCGGGTATGGAGTGGGGTGGAAACACAGGTGGAAGTCAAACTCTTTGGAATGGAATCCTGGCTTTGCTGTACCAGTGAAATAGGGATAACAGCACCTAACCCACACCTGAAACCTATATGATCATGTTGACCAATGTCACCCCAATAAATTTAATAAATGGATAGGTATGATAGGCCTGTCAAAATTATTGGTGACTTGGGATAAATGTTATTCAAACCAGTCTTTAACTCTGCTACATGAGGAAATTACTCATTCAGGATTTGGGGGAAGTAATTTGTCCCAAAGTCAATCCTACTTAGAACAGTATTTCTCAAACAGCATTCCATGGAATATTCTTAAATATTCTCATCCTTGGCCAGCTAACACAAAGTTAAACAAGTTTTTTTGGTACAAAACCTCTAAGAATGTTTACTATGCGAACATAAATGCAAAAGTCCAAGAGTAGAGAGCTTGCAGTGTAATGTTTCTTTTGACACAGTTTGGGAAGTTCTGATGAGAACTGATCTTAACCCTCCAGAAGAGGAGAGGAGAGTAAAATAAAAAACAACATGGAAACTGAAGAATATTCTACATCTCAAAGCTAAAAGTTAAATGCTTCTGGTAAAGAGAAATAATCTGTGGCAGTATCTGAGGGGAAGACTAGGGAGGAATGCTAAATTGGGGCATCTGTGCAGCAGACAAGAATTCCTTTTCACCAGGTGATACTGAGTGAGGGGGACCCAGCTCTTAGCTTGGACTCACAATGTGGTCCAGACTTGGAGGAACCTGGGCTTAGCCCTGGCTCTGGCCCCCTCCTTTGATGGGCACAAAAGCCCCTCCACAACTCAGGCTGAAGGCTTATTAGGAGAAAGAAAAAGACATTCTTGGTAGAAAGGCACTCTTAAGTCTTTTAAAATAATACTTATGAATTTTACGAAGACAAAGGGTCTCTTTTTAAAAACCAAAGATGTTATAAGGGTTAGTACTGAACGAACGGTAGGAACATGGGTGGTGATTTTCTTCTTTGTTCTTTTTTAAACTTTAAAGTATGGCCTCAAACACAGAGCATTCCACTATGGACTTTAAACGTTTGCCCTCTACTGTTGATTACACAGAACCCCATCAAGAAGCTCCACCAGCATGCTCAATCTGGCAGCACACATACTAAAATTGGAACAATACAGAGAAGATTAGCAGGGGCCCTGTGCAAGGATGACACGCAAATTTGTAAAGTGTTGTGTATGTGTAGTTTTAAGAAGCCCCACTATCCCACACTGTACCTGACTTTCAATAACCAGAACGGGGAGAAATGGAGGTCTCATGGGATAACAAGGTAAAAAATGAGCTTCATTTAATGGGACACCAACTATGTCCTGAAGCACAGGAGAGCACGAAGGGCACATTTGTTTGGATACCTTTTAAGTACAATGGGGACAGCAATGGAGGGGTTCTTCCTCAGACCATCAATGATGTCGGCTGCTTTGTCAGCATATATCCTCTGGAGTGCTTTTCGATGGATGACTTCTGATGTGCCCCCAAGGGTGTTGTCCAAGCGAAATTTGGCTTGTTCCTCAGCAGACAAGCGGGAAAGCTTCTTCTGTATTGCCTCCAGAACCCGGATTGTTGCCAGATTGGTCTCTAAAACTACATCAAGCTAAAGAAAAAGACAAAGTGTGCTCAGGATCCAAATCAGAATAGAATAGTAGTTAGGAGTATAAGGTAAGGAGTCAAACTCCCTGGACTGGAATCCTGGCTCTGCCGTAAAAGCCACAGAAGACTGTTTTCTTGCCAGTAAAATAGGGATACCAATCGATATGTTTCTCCCACATCAATATTTCTCTCTGTCGTTCCCTCTCTCTTCCACTCTCTCTAAAAATCAATGGAAAAATATCCTTGGGTAAGGATTAAATAAATAAATAAATAAGTGATGAATAAGTGGTAGTCATTACTTCTACCACCACCAGTGCGCTTGGCTTAGGACTACTAATCCCAGTGTAGAGGGACTTAACAGGAAGCAACCTTACAGACACTTTACCCTGAACTTTTCTGAATTGTTAAGATCTGTTACAAACTAACAATCAAAAAACAAAACAGCCCTAGCCAGTTTGGCTCAGTGGATAGAGCGTTGGTCGGCAGACTGAAAGGTCCCAGGTTCAATTCTGGTCAAGGGGACATACCTCGGTTGCAAGCTCCTCCCTGGCTGGAGCCCTAGTCAGGGCTCGTCTAGGAGACAACCAATCTATGTGTTTCTCTCACATCAATGTTTCTCTCTGTCTTTCCCTCTCTCTCCAATCTCTAAAATCAATGGAAAAATTTGGATTGAACTTCCTGGTTCTCTTATGATTAAATAGGGCCACATAACGAGTTCTGGCAAATGAGTTATTAACAGATGGATCAGAATACTTATTACTTCCAGGCTAGAGCATTTAAAGGTGCAAAACCCTTCTGAGCAATCTTTTTCCTTCCAGTGACTGGCAATGTTCAAGATGGTGGCACTCTGTCAGCCTGGGACCGAGTAATTCTGATGAGCAGAATACCCCACTAAACATCAATGTACATGTAACAGGATCAAGGAATAAATCTGTTTCTTAAAGCCACTAAAATTCGGGGAAGGAGGAGGTTGTCTGTATTGTAGGATCACTTACCTATCCTGATGTATAAAAGGAATTCTTGAACACCACTGTATTGATAAGAGATTTTCAGAAAGGAACACTCCTTTTAACTAGCCCATCCCACCCAAGCCTAAACACACACACACACACACACACACACACACACACACACACACACACTTCTGTCACCTTTATTCCTATTATCACAAATAGGAAATGAGACTGTGGCCTCTCATTTGCTTGCATACCACTTGAGAATCAAAAAAGATTCTAACCTCTGCTTTCTAACTCATCTCACCTTACTAGACATAGGTAACAAAGAAATGCTTTCTTTAAACTTTCCATGGAAGTCACCATCTATCAAGATTTAGTTCTCTGCAAATGGTTGAAGCTCCTCATAAACCCTGAGCAGAGATGGCCAATCACCTGCCAGGACCAAGCAACATCTGACTTCATTCAAAACATGCCACAGACAGCTGGAGTGAGTGTGGGGATAGCTGGCAGAAGGATAAACTAGTATGGGCTAACAAAGAGCAAGGTATCACCCATCTACAGGGAGAAGCAGGGTCAGTAAGTTTTATATAATAAATACATTAAACCAGCGGTTCTCAACCTGTGGGTCACGACCCCTTTGGCGGTCAAACGACCCTTTCACAGGGGTCGTCTAAGACCATCTTGCATATCAGATATTTACATTACGATTCATAACAGTAGCAACATTAGTTATGAAGTAGCAACGAAAATAATTTTATGGTTGGGTCACAACATGAGGAACTGTATTTAAAGGGCCATAACGTTGAGAACCACTGCATTAAATATAGGACACATGTAACTTTACCACTTAAGCACATTTAACATGCCCTTTTCTTTTTTTTAAATTGATTTGAGAGAGCGAGCGAAAAACATGGATTGGTTGCCTTTGGCACATTCCCCTACCGGGGACCGAACTTGCAACCAGGGCAAGTGCCCTGACTGGGAATTGAACCCACCACCTTTCTATGTACGGAACAACGCTCCAACCAACTGAGCTACACTGGCCAGGGAAAAATATTCCCTTTTCTTGTTGATAATATCAGTGAACATGGGGGATTCAGAACCCATTTTCAGTATTTCCACTTCTGGCATAGGGGCTCTACCGGCTCATTTATTCATTCAAGCCCTTCCTAACTACTTTAAAATAAAATCCCTAATTTAACTTTCTTTCAAAGGGAGCCAACCACATCAATATCAGAACTATGAAAGAAGAATTTCAATTCCCACAGGAGAGCTGGTTTGCTAACCACCTGCTAAGAATAATAATACATCAAAACAACAATGAAGTACCATCTCACACCTGTCAGGATGGCTATCATCAAAAAATCAACAAACAACAAGTGCTGGAGAGGATGTGGAGAAAAAGGAATACTCGTGCACTGCTGGTGGGAATGCAGACTGGTGCAGCCACTATGGAAGACAGTATGGAGTTTCCTCAAAAAACTGAAAATGGAACTCATAGTTGACCCAGTGATCCCACTTCAGGAATATATCCCAAGAAACTAAAAACACCAATCAGAAAGGATATCTGCACCGGGGGGCAGGGTAAGAGATCAACTGAAGGACTTGTATGCATGCATATAAGCATAACCAATGGACACAAGACACTAGAGGGTAGGAGAGGCCGGGGAAGGTCAAGGGGGAAAGAAAAAAGGAGACATATGTAATACTCTTTGTAATACTTTAAGCGATAAAACAAAATTTTTTAAAAAATAACAATACACTTTAAAATAAATAATTTCCAGCAGCCTCAAAAAAGCCCAGTAGGCCTTACTACAGTACTAAGTTTTTATATACCTTTGTAAAATAAAATAATCTTTAAAATGCCATTAAAAATTCAAATTAGCCCTAGCTGGTTTCGCTCAGTGGATAGAGGGTTGGCCTGACACTGAAGGGTCCTGGGTTTGATTCCAGTCAAAGGCCATGCCTGGGTTGATCAGGAGGCAGTCAATCAGTGATTCTCTCCCCTCACTGATGTTTCTATCTCTCTCTCCCTCTCACTTCCTCTCTGAAACTAATAAATGCATATTAAAAAAAAGAAAAAGAAAAAAAGACCCTGCAATTTATAAAAAAAAATAAAAATTTCAGCCCTAACCGGTTTGGCTCAGTGGACAGAGCAGCGTCCTGCGGACTGAAGAGTCCCAGGTTCGATTCCGGTCAAGGGCATGTACCTTGGTTGCTGTCACATCCCCAGTAGGGGGTGTACAGGAGGCAGCTGATCGATGTTTCTCTCTCATCGATGTTTCTCACTCTCTATCCCTCTGTCCCTTCCTCTCTGTAAAAAATCAATAAAATATATTTTTAAAAAATTTCAAATTATTATTCAGCTACCAATTGATAATTTCAATTAAAAGGGTTAAAGTGGCCTAGATAAGTCACATTTGCCATAAAAATATTACTAACATATTTGACAAACTCTTAAAGTATGGTAAGTACAACAAGCATTTACCACAAAAGAACATGAACCTCTAACACTTTAGTCTTAAAAGTAAACCCTCACAGATAAGTATTTAAGATATTTTATTTAGCATCTCCCATTTTTCCAAACTTCAAATGATCAAGGAAGCTGTACCTCAAAGCGTTCGTCTTCACAACGATAGATATGTTCTTCATACTGAGTTTTCTTGGAACTAACAAAGGTGGAGTCTTCAGACCAGGAAGGGAAGGAAACCCAGGTATCATTTAAAACCTTTAGGTAATAGAACAGAAATTGAAACAAAAATGTAACAAAGCTTTCTGGCAAGTAAATATTCTCAATAAAAAGACACAATTCTAGGAGAAGGAAGAATCTTTTAACATTACAAGCTTCCCCTTTAGCAAGTTTACAACATATATTAGAGTAAGGAAAAGGTTCTGAATATAAGCGTAAAACATTTTCTTTTAAAAAATGACAGAGCCCTGGCTGGTTTTGCTCAGTGGATAGAGTGTCGACCTGCAGACTGGAGGGTCCCAGGTTCGATTGCAGTCAAGGGCACATGCTCGGTAAGGGGCGTGCAGGAGGCAGCCAATCGATGATTCTCTCTCATCATTGATGTTTCTATCTCTATCTCCCTCTCCTTCCTCTCTGAAATCAATAAACACACACACACACACACACACACACACACACATATATATATATATATATAGAGAGAGAGAGAGAGAGAGAGAGAGATCTTGATTTCTTCACTGATATAAATTCTTGATTCCTAGGATCATTCCCTTCCAGATAAAGTTGAGGTTTCAGGGTTGTTCCTTTCTGGGGAAGGCCTTACCTCTTTACAGAGCGGAGTCCGTCCTGTACACTTGGGCTGCTGGTAACTCTTTGGGAGGGCTCGGTAGCTGGAACCCAACCGTTTACAAGAGGCATAATCTATTTCCATGGCAATGCCCTCTGTAGCTCGTTCCTTTGGAAAGGTTTCCAAATGTACAGACTCCTTATAGCCCAGAAAGTTTTTAAACCAATTAAACAATTCAGGGAATTTCCTGAAAAATCAAACCAAAAACTGGTGAGCAATTAGAAGCACGGTGCAGTTATTCTGAGATATGATTACCACTATTTGGTGTTAAGTCAGAACTTTGCTACCAAGAACAAAGTCCAATGGCAATTATTGCTTCTAAGCATTTGGCTTCCCCTTTTCTTACAGAGTGCTCTACAGTCAGTTAAGGTGATGATAGAAGAGTGCACTGAAATCAGACAAAGCCAAGGATATTGCTTCAGTATGAAGATCATTTTTAGGTTGTCAAATACAATCAAGACTCTAGAATCCTGGAATAGACTGGCCTCTATAACATCCTACACTGAACAGGGGATCAAGAGACTACCACTAGTGCTAGCCAATGGCCTCTCTAATTTTTTTCATCTCTAGAGTTGAAACAGAAGTCTTTCCAGAAGACTCTTGACATTGTATGAGCCAAATGACCTAACACAATCAAATTAATTTTGCCTATCATATACTTTCACAAACTAAGTTTATTTCAATTCCATATCATGCATCAGAGCTAAGGCCCCTCAACTCTACTTACCCCAGGAAAGGAGAGACTAATTGCACAAGCTCAGCCCGAGAGATGACCTCCTGGTTAAAGATAACAAGACAGCGCAGGAAATTTTCATAGGCCTCTGCATTCCGCAGAGCCTTTCGAACCTTATGGAGACAACCAGAAGAGAATGATTAAGTGGGGAATGAAGCGATCTGGGATTACTTTTAAATGACTAAGGAAATTTGAAGTTACCTGATGATTCTAAGGAATTAACATTTTTTTTCATATGTGTTAATGATTATGTTTGAAAAAAGGTTTTATTTTAAAAGGAAACTGAATTAAATAATATCTGGGTGCTGTCTGCAAGCAATTTGGGGTGGATGAGAGCACACATGAAAGCAGCAATATTGGCTAGCAACTGGATGATGGGTAATGAGGAGTCAGTTTACTATTCTCTTTAATTAATTTCACATGTTTAAAATTTTCCATAATAAAAAATTTTTCAAAATGAGATCCTGAAGTAAGACATTTACCTTCTCATACTCTTGATTCTCCAAACCAAAATCAGAGTACTTCAAGTTTTTGTTTCCTCTCCTAACAGATGTTTACAGCAAGAATCTTGTCAACACTGTTTTGGTAACCTTAAATAATGAACTTTTTAAATAAGATACTTGTGTCCTCTGACCCAATTATTTTCCTTCTTCCATTTATAATATTAAGCATTTTAATATCCAAAAATCTAAAACTGTTCAATGGCATAGACAAAGTAAAACTAGCCTGGCTAGATGAGCAAGCTGAAGTTTTAATTTCAGAAGTATTTAGCACTGTGTTCCTTTATTGGGGGATTGCAGACCATGTGGTTTTATCAACCCC